CTGTAGCCCATGTTAACTGGGCTGGGAAAAGGTGGTATTGCTTAAGGGGTATCTCTTGCTGCTGTTGTCTTTCAGTGCTGCTGGCTGCTGTTTGAAGCAGAAATTGCTGCAGAATGCTTTAATTACTTAAGTATAGAGAAACTTACCTGTTCACTTCTCTTTAAAATAAGTGCCATCCGGTTTGAGATCTTGCTTGCCTGGCTCCTACCTGTCTTTGGAGGTTTGTAGCCACTGAGTCATGTTTTCCGAGCTCTCACCTCTGTGTGATGGTGGTTTTGATGGTGGTACACCAGGCTGGCCTGGGAAAAGAGTGCGGGAAAGGCTGCAAAGTCTTGTGGCCGACTGACAGCCTGGTGATCAGGAGTGCGTGATGCAAGGGCTTGCAGCCCAGTGACATGGCAGGCCACTGTGACTTCACAGATGTGTCCCTTGAGATCAGCCTCTGATGCAAACCTGTGTGGGTAGGAGGTATCTTTGCTCTCCAGTTTGAACTTCACTCTGGAGAGGCTCTCCAGTAGGAAGCAGCAGGTGGTCCCTCTGTGGCTGACTGTCTGCCTCCTTTATCTTTGTATGAAAAAGCAAAGAAGCTGTGGTTTAGATACTGCAGTACCCTATGCCAGTTGGACTTTCAATGGAAAAAAAACCAGCCTTATGCCAAAGGTAGATCAAGTAAGTCTATGTCTGTTTCTCTGCAGTAATTTCTCTTATTTTAATCTTAATGGTAGGGCCTCCAGTTCTTTAGGTTTTTGTCAACTCCTTATGTCTCCTATAAGGCAGAGCATGTGCTACTGGTTATTTTTAGCATGGAAAATTTTAAGAGCCCACGTGGTCCCATTTAGTTTTAACTGTGCCAACCTTGTCCAGTTCTCTTTCACCCAGATAGTATTTATTTCCTGAGTGCTGTATCGCTAACTATAGGGTTTGTAGGGAGGCATCCCGGCCTTGCTGTTGAAGCTACATTTCCAATTTAGCTGCCTGCTCGTTTGCTCTGTGGTCCTTCAGGACGGCCTTTAATTCCAGCCTGGATTTCCACAGCTTTTGGGGTTTGGAAGTGTAACCTCTCAAGCGCTGGGGCGGAAGGGGAGCAGAGGAGGCAGGGACTGGCAGCAGTGTAGGGTATGTCCCTGCAGAGCGCGGGAGCTCAGTCACTTGGGACTTGCCTCTCTTCTTGTAGAGACTTGAAGCAGCTTGCCCCCAGAAGAAACCTTCTTGTGTGTAGAAAGCCCTGAAAATCCAGAGCAAGTGCTTGCTGAACTCTCCTCTTGAACCTTGAGAGTGAATTATCTGGCTTTTCTCTGAACCTCACACTGCAAACATTTCTAACCTAATAAGGATGTGTATACTGAAGGGTTGTTTGTCCTGGCTAGGGAAACAAGGTGGCTTAAAACTGCTCTGGGACCCTAATGTGAACAAGTAGAATAAGTTGACTGTCCTTGGCGCTTTTTTTTTTTTTAAGGTAGGCAAGTGTGTGCGTTCATTCTTGTTCTCATCTCCCTGGTCTTTACCAGGAGTTTTCCATAAATCAAGTCAGGATAGAGATTTGGAGAGCTGACTGACCCCTACTCTCCCCTTGCTGTCTTAATCCCATCCTGACCTACCGTGGGGATTATTTAGCAAGTTGGAAAAGTCTCATGTCCTAGCTGCAGCTCTCTGGCCCTGCCTTGATAGAAGGTGTGACATTTAGACCGGATTCCTGACATGCCAGAAAGAAGTGGAAGTGGCTGGTGGTGCGGGGTGAGCGCATACAGTGTGCGAGCTCCGCGCTATTTTTGGTGCGGGACTGCATGGGGCCCTGCGTGTTGGGAAACGGCACTGGGGCATCCGGCGCTTCGCACTGGTTCTGGCTCTTACGAGCCGATCGTCTCCGGTCCAAAGCCTCCAGAGCTGCTGCGTTTCTCCAGCTGGCTCCTCCTGCCTGGAGAGCGCGAGGACTGTCGGGCCAGGCTCCCTCCAGTTTGGCAGTGTTTAAAGCCATGTGATTTGACAAGTTGCCATTTTCTGTTCTGCTGCTGGCAGGAGAACCGCAGGCTTTCTTCCCCCCATGTGTTTAAATGATCCCATTGCCCCTGCAGTCCTGAACTGGCTGTCAAATTGGCAGCGGAGAGCGGGTTTTGTCGCTCTTAAACGTGTTGGAAGAGGGATGTGGGCTTTAGGAGCTCTCCTGTGGAGGAAATGGAAGAGAAGTATGTGCTGCATCTTACACCTGTTTGGTTGAGCAGGTTAAAAATCAGCCATCTTCTAGGCATCACGTAAAAAGTGACATTGTGACCAGCGTATTGAAATCGGGCCAATCAAGTCTTCCCATCACGTTTACGTAAGGAGATGTTTGTTGGTGTTAGCTGTCCCCTAGCCAACCCGGTGCTTTAGGGTGTCTGTTGGCATCTTGTACAGACCCACTGCCTTTCATCCCTTTCTAGCTGATGGAAGGATGTGGAATTCCCATTTAACAGGATCACTGATAGTATAATGCAGCTCTTGCTAAAATTAGTCAAATTAAAAACATGAAATTAAATGAGCTTCACAAGGAGCAGTCAGCTAATCCACCAGTCCCCACTGATCTAAATATCACAGAAGAGTGAAGATCTTTATCTTAAATTATATTAATGTCGAAAATGACTCTTAGAACTGTTTTGTCTGCCAGGCTTTGGGACAGGCCTGGCCCTCTGTGGGGCATCCTGCTACTGCCTTCCTGCGCTGCGGAATTGTGTGGGACTATTGTTTGTACAGTTGGTGCAACTTAATAGGGAATCGGATAATAATAGGGCTGTCTGTTTAATCAGGAAAGCTTGCTCGGAATGGACTTATGTGAGCTACTTTAATTTGAGTTTGTGGTACGCCTGTGAGACAGCTTGTAGGGTGGTTCTGCATTAATTATAACAACTTAAGCAGACAGCAGACGAGCACTCGCAGTGGCTCACAATGTGCCATTGTGCTGGAGAGCATAAATGTGAACCTTTTGTCTTGGGAATGTACAGACTTCACCCTTTCCATTTACCAAGTTCCAAAAACCAAACATCCAAATTATTGCATAGGTTTGTTGGTTTTGGTTTTTTTTAAATTCCAAATCTCAGATGTTGCCGTTAACTGAAAGTTCATCCTCAGCAGTGAGCCCTGCTACCTGACTGTGTAAAGCCAGCTGGAAGTAACTTGGATTTAGAAGAAAGCAGCTATGAATGTCCAATTAACACACACTCAAGTTTTCTTTGTAGAACAACATAAATACCTCATTTGTGATATACTGGAGATATTACTGGATTTCTTAAGTCATGTCTGCAGCTGACTTTTGATTTGGGATTAAGCAAGAAATTTTCTAGTCCCTGTTTTTGCCAGTCATTTATTTACTTGCCTCAGTTGTTAGGACTCTGTGGTAAACAGTACAGAAGCAAGGCTGGCATCTGAGCTAGCTTGGATAAAGTTGTGTATTTGCTCTTGTGGCATGGGAGGGTGTGGCTGGAGGAGGTGAGAAATCTGGAGAGAATATTAAATTTTCTGAGGCTTGGATGCTCGGTTTGAGCCTGAGGGAGGCATGTTTTTGTCCCTTGGCTAGAATGTAATCAGCTCGTCGTGAAAATCAAGGCCCTAAAGGAGAGTTGTATTTGGAAGCTGTGGTCAGAAGGCTTGCTCTGATAACAAGTTTTTTTCCGGTTGAGACAGACTAAGCATAGTTGACAGAATGACTTGATTGTCTTGTCTTGGAAATATTATGCTTCTAAAGAGGAGCTAGATAATACTCTTTTCCAGTGTGTGGTTCCCATTTCTAGGACTTTGCTATCTCCTGAAAACAATCTTTATTTTCGTTGCTCATTGGCAAAAGTCTTGAGGCCTGTTTGGAGAAAAATCTGTCATGTGTAAGCATCACCAGACATGTGATGTTTTGCTTTAATTCCTGCTCAGTGAAAATATAAACTGTAAGTGCTTTGCAGCAAGGCTGTTTTGGGGATATGGGTAACTGTTTAGCTTTGTGTTCCAGCTGTAGACTTTCCCTAAGGAAAAGGAAAGGCATGTCAGCCCTGCCTCGGATAACCCAGGTGAGGCTTGTAAATGGAGGAGCACGACTGGGACATGAGTCTTGGCAGTGTGCAGGTGGGGAAGGGTTCGCACACTTTCTAGAGTCAGAGAGACAGCTTTCGACTCCAGAAAGTCAGAGAAGCAGCAGCTGTCAACATAGTAATGTAGAACAAACTTTGGAGCTGGGTTCCTAGGTAGTAGTGTCCCTATCCGGGCTGCTTTTGCTAGATAAATACCATGGTTGTAAGGGCGCTATAGCAGATTTCCCATCTTCACTACTGCAAAATCTTTTAGAGGCACTTCTGGTTATTGGGAGACACTTGCTTGATCAGGCTGTAGTTGTTCTTTGTTTAGGAATTCCTACACTGTGTATATAAAAGTAAATGGAGTAGCTGCGTGTTGCTGTTTAGCGTCTACTTAACTGCAGACTTCTGTGGTGTGCCCGCTCACCAGCCTCTCGCAGTTGCTGTGGATGAGAACATTTGCAAAGCACTTCACCTTCACTGAGCTATTATGTTTTAGAGAAGTGCGTGTTGTCAACCTATGAAACTCAGGAATGTGGTGCTGCCTTTCAAGCAGAGAAGTGGGGAGACCTGCAGCGTGTCAAGTCTGTGTCTCGGAGTGCTGGTGGTACCGCTGTGTTGTGAACCCAGCCTGATGCTGGAGAGACTTGCAGTGCTGGATGCTGTCCTTGTGTGTAGTACTGACCTGTGAAGGTGAGGCAGGAGAAAGAAGGTGAAATTGTTTTACGTGTAAAGGTGGGATAAGGTGAAATTGGTGAGTGTAACGGTGAGAAATGTCCAGATATTCCTAGTCTTGGGTCAGGATCTTGTTCTGTGGTCTGTTGGTGGAGCAGAGATGTGAATTTAAGGAGTGGCTAGAAAACAAGTCTGTTCATGCTAATAGAAATACCTCAAGGCATTTATGAAACTTTAGCCTTGCTGTTACCTTTCCTGTGACTATTGTAACATGGCTTTTGTTTCTCCTTCTAGATATAATTGCTAAGGATCTGTAAAATGGCTTTACGTTTCCGCAATATTATCCCATATGCCATACCTGGAGTGCTGGCACTTGTTGGCTGCTGGTGGATCTATTCCCGTAGAAAAAAGCATGCAAGCTATCACGATAAACAAGCAATAGCCACTGAAGAAGAGCAGCAGGAAGAAGCGCCAGAGAATGATTCATCACCCAAAACAGAAGCATGTGTTCCTCGAAGACTGCCTCTCTCGTCAGAAGAGGAATGCCGAGAGAACGAAACCTCAACCTCCCTGCTCTCAGCGGGGTCAACGACGCCCTCTCTTCTGTGTCAAACTCACGAGAGGCTAGATCTCTCACAGGACCTTCCAGACCTGTCAGTAATGACAACGCAGCCCAGCACCCTTGAGGACGACAGTGAAAAACTAGAAACGACAGGATCTCAAGATGAAAGCGGTGTCCCTGCTTGTGTTTCTCTCCCTCTGATCTCAAAGAGTACAGAGTGTCAAGGCGGTGCTGTACTGAGCCTTATACAGGATTCAAGCTCTAGTGCGAACCAAGATCAGTGGCCATCAGCATCAGTGACACTGACACGAGAGTCTTTGGGAATCGTGGAGGAGATCAGCAATGCAGAGCAGTCAGATGATTCTTCATTTAAGCCCCCTAAGGAAAGCCAGATGTCAGAAATGGTGCTATCGGATGCTGGCTCTGTGACAGCCCTTTGCTTGGGATTGGAGAGGGAAGCCGATACCCCGCAAGCCTTTCTCAATAACGAAGCTGAAGTTGTATCAGGTCACAAGGATTCTGCAGTGAGCATGTTACCAGATAGTTTGGAGTCCGCCTGTTTGGAGCAGTCCAGGGAAGAAGAGATGCCTGAATCAATTGCCAGTACTGTACCTGTGTGTCAGGAGGAGGATGCGGAGCCAAATGGAGATGAATTGGAAAGGGAGAAGATTGGTGGAGTGAGTTTGGACAAGGAAGATGTTGAGAAAATTGAGCAAGTAGCAATACAGATCATTTCCAAGGTCATTTTGGCAGCAACTGAGGAAGTGCTGTCTGGTTCTGCAAGCGATGTGTCCACTTGGATCTGCCAGGCTGCTGCCAGCCGAGCTGAGACACCTCTGGAGGCGGCAAGCGTTGTTTCCTCCGATCGGATGCTTGCGGAGGAAGCTACAGCAGCCGATGAGAACATCGCTGCGACGAGTGATGCTGGGGTACCGACATCCCCGCAGACAGAGGAAGGGGATCGGAGTGTGGCAGATCCCAGCCGTTTAACACACGGCCGTTTATCCGGCCCTGTTCGGGGTGGCACAAAAGACTGTCGGATGAAGAACCGTGCATGCAGCAAGCATGTGCTCTCTGGTTCTGCAAGTGATGCGTCTGCTTGGATCTGCCAGGCTGCTGCCAGCCGAGCTGAGACACCTCTGGAGGTGGCAAGCGTTGTTTCCTCCGATCGGATGCTTGCGGAGGAAGCTACAGTAGCCGATGAGAACGCTGCTGCAATGAGTGATGCTGGGGTACTGACATCCCCGCAGACAGAGGAACGGGATCGGAGTGTGGCAGATCCCAGCCGTTTAACACACGGCCGTTTATCCGGCCCTGTTCGGGGAGACACAAAAGACTGTCAGATGAAGAACTGTGCGTGCGGTGACTCCCACGGACTTGATCGGACTCCTGTGGAAAACCACAGAGGGTCACTGGAAAAGTCATCTTTGGTTATGGAGGACTCTGGGTACAGCACATACACATCTGAAGGTGGGACAAGTGTGGAGGACCCATTGCAGAACACAATGCTGTCTGGCGCGTCAGGCCAGCATTCGGACTCACTGAGCATATCTGCAACGCAAGACACGTCTGCTGAGCAGAGCTCAGTAGCAAGTGAAAAACCTCCTACTCTGAAGCTACCTGAAGGCAGCGAAGTGCCATACAGTAATGGGATACTGAAAAAGGATGGTCCAGACTTGAATCATGAGTTTAGCAGGGCAGCAGAGATGGATGGAGATCGCTCAGGAGGTAAGAGGTTTGAAAATGCTCCCACAAAAATGTGGTGAACAAGCATTTTATGTGCTGTAACCCTTCTGCTTCAGAACATGTTCAGATAAGTCCTCTTCATCTTTACCTTTGCCAGTAGATGAATATTTAGGCCTCGTGTGCAGGTGGGTATGCGTTTGCTCTCAGAATTCCCGTCTCTGTAGGATCCCGTGTTAGCTGGGTGATCTTCAGGGTATATTGCAAAAGGTTGAACAGACTGGTCTGCATTCAGCACAAAGCCTATTGTCTAAAGCGAAGCATGTGCTTGAGTAGCCCAGTGAAATGGGCTGTGTCTGGATGTAGGCCAGGCTGTTGAACACCTTGCTGGCTTGAGACCTGCTAATGCAAATAGTTTCTGCTTCAGTTCGGGCAGCCTCTAGTAAGCACTGGGTTCTTATCTGTGTTTGTGGGCTGCTGCCGAAAGGAGGCTGTAAGGCAGTTTCTGAGGTGCTGCTGGATGAACCAGGGAAGTGCTCTGATGAGTTGTGATAAAATCAGTTGGTTGCAGACCAATTACCCTGAAGCCTTTTTGCTTGGAAGGGTAGGTACATGCCAAGAAATCCCAACAGGGAGCGATGTTCGTGGAGTTCCCCCATCTGTCTCTGTGTTGCTTTTGCCTTCTAGATCCTGGATGATGTGTGCCTGGCAGAATACAAAGCTGTCTGAGCAAATGTTAACCCGTGTGACCTTGGGGATGGATGTTAAAATCCTTTATAGGACCCTGTGGTGCCAACAGCCCTTAATGACAGGATGTCTTTTGTAATTGCTACAAAGTAGTTGGAATGCTGCTTGTTGTGAGACATGGGGATTGAGTTTGCCAACAATTAAGGATTAAACCCACAAAACATTTTCACTAGTGAGAGTAACCATAGGAGGAAAACGGTTTTGCCTTGTTGTGAATGCTGGTGTGATGAGAAGGTACAACGGTGTGTTGTGGAGCCTGGTGATGACTAGGGCTGAAAGCTCTGCAGGGAGACAGGTAGGGAGACAAAGTATAGCAGGTAAAGTTGATAATGTGGCTATGTTGGATAAGAGGTCCTACAGCTGACCTTCGCACCCAGGCTGTGGGACTTAAATCCTCATCCTTGTCTAGCAAGTCTATTGCAAACAGCTGCACTGCTTGCCTTTGACTTTCTAGGCATCTGTGCTGTGTTACTTGTTAAGATGTGGCAAATGTGAGGCAGCTGTTGGGTTTATTTTTCTCTTCGGTCTTGTACTGGGTGATCTGAATACTTGCAAGCAAGTGAGGATCTTCATGTTTCTGCTTGTTGGTCTGGAGGAAGGATCAGCCTTGTTCTTGTTCTTGATCTTGATCTTGTTACACTGACTGTATCTGGGATCTGACCAGGAGGAAGCTGTTTGAGTTTGTCCCCTTCCCAAGTACAAATGTTCCTGGTATCGGCTGATGGTTTGGGAACAAAAGGTAGCTCAGCTCTGGCACTTTGTTTCTTCAAGCATATGACAAATCTGGGCAAGAGACAATCCCCTACCACAGCTAGTAGTGGACACAGCTGGTGCTCAGGCCCCCGTGCAACCCTTGTTGGGGCAGGAATGTAATGTCAATGCAAAGAGCAGACGAATAGGTTGCACATCCCTCCGTGCATGCTGAACTCCCTGTGAAAAGCCCTGTTTAAACCATGGGGAAAATGCAAAATACCTTGCTGCAGCAGCAGCTCAGTGTTGGTGTTAGCATAGCTCTCATTCAGCTGGTAACTTTTGACTTAGTGTCTTGTCTCTGCTGCTGCATAAGGTGTCACCATGTTTGAAGGACTCCTGCTGAACTTGGGCCTCCTTCTGTTGCATTCCCAGAGGTGTGCAGGTTTTTCTCCAGCAATAAAAGGAAACTTGCAGCAGGCTGTGTGTGATGGGACTTTACCCTTTCTGAAATACCAGATAACCTGATACAGGATCATCCCAACTGAATGCATAGGAAGAGCTCAATGTCACCTCTCTATGAAATTATGTATTTTCATGGCCTTGTGTCTGGTAGCTGGATTGTGTGGGTTGTCTGAATACTGACATGTCTGTATGTCTTGTAGGTTCGGATGTAAATAGCGTGAATTTTGTGGACAGTGGCTGTGCCATGAGGAAGACAGTGAGTCGGCAGAACTCCAAGCTAAGAGGAGAATCCAGCAAGTCTGACTTCGTTATCTGGGAGATAGAGGTTCCAAAGGTAACCAGCCGTTGGCCTGCTCGCGCATCCTGCCTTGCCCTACATAGCCATCTTCTGGTTCTTCCAGCCTGGTACTGGGTCAGTGCCATCCCAGGGAGATCAACAACAAATCAACGAGGATTTAAGCATTTAGCTCCTGTTAGGACTCAACAGGAACAAAGAGCCAGTACACAACTGTAAACAAGAGGCATGTCAGGGCTATGCCCAGGGTAATGTTGGTTGCTGGACTCATTATTCCCCATTATCTTCCACCCCAATCTGTTAGTCCGATGCTCTGAAAGCATTCAGAAGGCTTTGAGGGTACACAGTTATTAAGGGCAGGTGATGATTTTTTTTTTTTTCTTTCTGCTATGTAGGAGGGTTATGTTTCAACTGCCTGTCCAAACCCTTCCTCACAAGCTGAATGCTCATCTGAGCTATTCTGTAGAGCTGCTGTGTCTCTGTCTTTATAGTGAGCTTTCTTTTGGGTTGAGAGAGAGAGACTGTGTTTTTAGGACTATGTTCATACTTTCTTCCCTGCTTTGTGTATGCAAAATCATCTGTGGCTGTCCTGCACAGCATTGCTCTTGCAGTTCTGCTGCTCAGCAGACCCACATACTGACAGCCAGTAATGTGAGACAGCAGCTCCCGGCAGGATAAGCATGCTGCCTCGAGTGCTTGGATGCTGTGAGCCCAGGGAAGACATGTAATGTGCATTTTAATGGATCAGTAAAACACAGGCTAAAGAAGCAGTTCTACAGCAGAAAAATATGTTTCAGTGTTTCATGAAGACAGGCTGTCACTTTTCTTAAAGTAGCCAACTCTACATTGTATAGGATTATCCATACTGACTTGGGCCCAACACTTCTGCTCTGGTACCTGGTCTCCGACAGTAGGTGATGGCAGGTGCCAGTGGAAGAGTAGAAGTAATGGGACATGCAAAGACATCTCTTCATCATCCTGCACAGCTGTCCTGGGACTCTGTAGTCTAATGGGCATGATAGCCTGGTTTACTCTCCCGTGAATTTGTCTACTCCCTATCTAGTCTAATTAGCTTGTTTTAAAATTGCTAAAACTTAGTATTTCATATTTGAATGAAAAATGCATGTAGCATGCTTTTTTAAAATAAGAAATGGTAGGAGATTGGGAGAGGATGTGACTTCACTTGACTGTAGGAAGACAGTAGCTTTTACCAGGCCTGGTAAAAGCCATCGTGTCTTTGTGTCGTTCTACAAGATATGAAGACGGATCTATCAAAACAAGCTGTGCTTACTGATCTGTATCTACCTTGACTTGTCATAGACCCACTGAACTCTGCGCTGGTCCAGCATTCCCTTATATTTATCCTGCCTGGCCCTGTGCTACAGGAACTGTGGGTGAAATAAGCCACAGAGAACAGTGTTGTTTGATCTATGTTTCTCTTCCTGACTGTTGCTTTCTTGTTACTTTCATAAAGGAATTAGTTGGCCGCTTGATCGGCAAACAAGGAAGATTTATGAGCTTCTTGAGGCAATCGTCTGGTGCCAAAATTTATGTCTCAACACTACCTTATTTCCGTGACTCCCAAGTCTGTCACATCGAAGGTAAGCGGAATGTCTCTTTATTCATGGTCTAATGTGTAGCTTGGGGGCCTTAATTAGATGGGCAAGGAATTTAAACAGATTTAGTGGCTTTGTGAGCCCAGTGCTTTACAAAATTTTTCTGATCGGTGCTGTTACAGTAGAGGTGTATGCCAAGTTGCCTGTGCCTTGGCATTTGAACCCTCTTATTCTAGAGGTGAGAATGCATTTTAACATCTTCGGCTGCTGTAATTTAACCAACGCATTTTGAAGGATCCCTTCAGGCTTGAAGGAGGAGCTATGGGATGTGTATCAGCAAATGCAGTCTTGACTGTGAAGGATGTTAGATTAATTGTGGCTGAAAAATATCTGCCAGTGAATTGGGTTCATACTGGAGGCTAACGCTGTTGAAACTGGGGCCTGAGTTGCTCATGTTGGTCTGATATCAGGTTACATGGCCAATCTATTAAAACTTAAATCGTTGATGTAGCGCAGAAGGCTTCTGGTAGCTATATCACTTCATGGGGTGGGGGTGTCCTCAGCATATCTGTACTACAGACTTTCTGTGGGATTTTTGTCTTCCAGGCTCTTCGCATCAAGTAGAAAAAGTACTGAGCCTGATTGGCAAGAAGTTCAAAGAGCTGTGTCTCACCAACATCTACGCTCTACCTCCACCAACACCACTGACGCTTCATTCCCTCCTTATGACTGCCTGGGTAAGTCCCAGCTTGCTGGCTATGCTGATGTCAGGGTGGAAGGCTGTTGTTGGTTGCTGCTGTCGTAGTATGCTATGTCAACATGGCTGGTTCACAGATGCCTTCAAAACCAGTTGGATTTTGTGTGGCTCTCTGCTGTCCATCTTATGTAACTGTTACAGATCAGATTTGCCTACCTGCTCTTCCACTGCTGTTTCCATTCTGCCTGAGCTGAGAAATGTAGAATCATAGAATCATTTAGGTTGGAAAAGACCTTTAAGATCGTCAAGTCCAACCATTAACCTAACACTGCCAAGTCCACCACTAAACCATGTCCCTAAGCACCACGTCTACACGTCTTTTAAATACCCCCAGGGATGGTGACTCAACCACTTCCCTGGGCAGCCTGTTCCAATGCTTGACAACCCTTTCAGTGAAGAAATTTTTCCTAATATCCAATCTAAACCTCCCGTGGCACAACTTGGGGCTGTTTCCTCTCATCCTGTCACTTCTTACTTGGGAAAAGAGACCAAGACCCACCTCGGTACAACCTCCTTTGAGGTAGCTGTAGAGTGTGATAAGGTCTCCCCTCAGCCTCCTTTTCTCTAGACTGAACAACCCTAGTTCCCTCAGCTGCTCCTCATAGGACTTGTGCTCCAGACCCTTCACTAGCTTCGTTGCCCTTCTCTGGACATGCTCCAGCACCTCAGCGTCTTTCTTCTAGTGAGGGGCCCAAAACTGAGCACAGTATTTGAGGTGCGGCCTCACCAGTGCTGATCCCTGGGTGGGTGATCCCTGCCCTGCTCCTGCTGGCCACACTATTTCTGATACAGGCCAGGATGCCGTTGGCCTTCTTGGCCACCTGGGCACACTGCTGGCTCATATTCAGCCGGCTGTTGACCAACACCCCCAGGTCCTTTTCCACCAGGCAGTTTTCCAGCCACTCTTCCCCAAGCCTGTAGCGCTGCATGGGGTTATGATCACTTGTTGTGATCCAAGTGCAGGACCCGACACTTGGCCTTGTTGAATCTCATACAACTGGCCTCGGCTCATCCATCCAGCCTGTCCAGATCCCTCTGGAGGCCCTTCCTACCCTCGAGCAGATGAACACTCCTGCCCAACTTGGTGTCATCCACAAACTTACTGAGGGTGCACTCAATCCCCTTGTCCAGATCATTGATAAAGATATTAAAGAGAACTGGCCCCAAAACTGAGCCCTGGGTAACACCACTGGTGACCGGCTGCCAACTGGATTTATCTCCATTCACCACAACTCTTTGGGCCCGGCCAGCCAGCCAGTTTTTTACCCAGTGAAGAGTACACCCATGCAAGCCATGAGCAGCCAGTTTCTCCAGGAGAATGCTGTGGGAAATGGTGTCAAAGGCTTTACTAAAGTCTAGGTAGACAACATCCACAGCCTTTCCCTCATCTACTAAGTGGGTCACCTTGCTACAGAAGGAGATTAGGTTAGTCAAGCAAGACCTGCGTTTCATAAACCCACGCTGACTGGGCCTGATCACCTGGTTGTCCTGTACGTGCTGTGTGATGGCACTCAAGATGATCTGCTCTGTAACCTTCCCTGGCACCAAGGTCAGACCGACAGGCCTGTAGTTCCCCGGATCCTCCTTCTGGCCCTTCTTGTAGATGGGCGTCACATTTGCTAACTTCCAGTCAATGGGGACTCCCCAGTTAGCCAGGACTGCTGATAAATGACTGAAAGCAGCTTGGTGAGCACTTCAACCAGCTTGGACAATCTCTGTGAAGATTACCTTAATCTTTAAAAACCCTGTGAGCAGGGAATCCTTGCAAGTTGCGCTGTGTTGATAGCGCAGCTTGACCTGCATCATTTCTGACTCTGCTCACTGATCTCTTGGGTAAATAAGTCTTCCAACTGCTTCATGCTGATAGTCTTTTTGTATGCAAGGTGGGCCCCGCCTCAAGTCTGATTTCTGTTAGAGCAGCATGGAGTAACAGTGAGTAGCTTTTGGAAGTGAAATACCGGAGTGCCAGGGCTTTTCCACCCATGGCTGTAAGCCTCAGGAGTTGCTGGTGGAACATGGAGTTGCTGTGAATGAAGCTTGTGTTGCAGTGAACGCTAATGAGAATTTCTTTCCTCCACATGACAGCTCTTCCTCCCAGACGGAGTCACTGTAGAGGTGGTCGTGGCAAACCAAGTCGATGCAGGGCACATGTTTCTACAGCAGCATACACACCCCACTTTCCATGTTCTGCGTAGCCTCGACCAGCAGATGTACGCCTGCTATTCTCAACCTGAAATTCCAACCCTGCCAACTCCAGTAGAAGGCATGTAATGTGATTGCTCACAAATTGTTCAGCTGAGAAACTTCTAGGGTCACGTGAAAGCCTGATGCCACTGAGTTAGGCTTGGGAAGTTTCCCAGTGGATGAGAATGTGATAGTTCACTTGTCATTTCATATTTTTTTAAGCCGCTGGCAGACTACAGATGCTGCTCTACTCTTCCTTACCCCACTCATCCCTGGAGTACCTCCCCAGGCACTTAGTTGCATGTTGAAATTCAGAATGAGATAAAGTCCATCTCAGGTTATTTCTAATCAACTTGGCATCTGGTGTATTTTTGCTGACAAAGTGTGGAACTACTCCCAGATCTTCATAGTGTCACAGTCTGCACGTGGTGTAAAGTGGAGGGTGCATCACATGGAAGGGGGTTACTAGCGCTGACTTTCCTTTTTGGGGACAGACCTCACTGTTAGTGACTGAAGGCTGGAAGGGAACTGGATACCTGGGTAGAACAGCATGGACGTGGCAGACAGAGACTTGAGAGTAAAACCCACCTCTCCTGTGTCCCAGCTGCAGGCCTTGTCTGGTGGGGGTGTGGGTGGTGGTGAAAGAAGATGGAGGCAGCGTAAGAAATGCTGTTGATTCTCAGTAGATAACTACTGATGCCTGAAGTGCTAATTTCTGGAAATCCACTTATGCTGAGCCTTTCTTCTCCGTACTCCTGTGTTTTGCAGTTGGTATTATCTGCGCGGCTCCAGGCCTGGATGGGGCATGGTTACGGGCTCAAGTTATTAGCTACTTCGAAGAGACCGGTGAAGTGGAGCTCAGATACGTGGACTATGGAGGATACGACAAAGTGAAGATTGACACGCTCAGACAAATCAGGTCTTTAGCTCCTCTTCTGTGGCCTGAGGCAATATCTGGCTTGAATCTTCATATATCGTTTGAATTGCTTATAGGTTTTTCCACAGCTGAAGTGGGAAATGGTGGAAAGGTTTGGCTCAGCATCAGCTGTGGATTCCTTGGGAGCACAGCAAGCTCTTGCAAGGCTTTTTTGAAGGGGAGGGGAGAGGAAATTGCAACTTCTGCCACTTCAGCGTGGAAGCTGAGTGAAAGGATGCCTTCAGGAGGCCCTAAATTGTAGTTAATTGATGAGCTAGAAATAAGATTCAGATTCTCTATGCCCCAGCCCCATTGGCTGGGAGAGCTGTATTGGATGGGGGTTTTCTTAGACAAGCCCATTAAATACTTGATTGTGCCCCAGAGGTGGGAGAAAAGCAGTACAGCTTCCATTATGGAGGTGGTTTTTGCTTGGAGCCCAATCCAACTTGGCGTGCTAATCAGACTATTTATTGCTGTTGCTTAGATTGCTGGGAGAACAATCTGATTTTTTTTTTTTACTGTCATCAATTTTAAACTGAATTCCTGTAAGGTGACATTGATTAATCAATTGCTCTAAAAGAATACAGGAGTAACTTAAAGCCATGTTCTTACTCTGATTGATTCTCTTTTCTTTAAGGTCTGATTTTTTATCACTACCTTTCCAAGGAGCAGAAGTTTTACTAGACAACGTGGTGCCACTTCCAGGTAATGGAGCTCTCAAGACATACCGTTGGTGCTCCTCCTGCAGGTTTAAATGGATACCGACCGTGTACAAGCGATGATTCTGTCTAAACCTTTTCCCTCCTATTGCAAGCGCAGCCTCTGATGTGACTAGAGCAAGATTGGAAAAATTGTATTTTATTCTTCTAAATGTGCTAGCATGGCATAACCTGTCAGGCTCCAGGGGAAAGATGATAAATGTTCAGGCTTTTTCCTGCATGGAGGAGAGAATGAATTACTCTCCTAAACAGCAAGTTGGCAGGACTGGCAGGGTACAGGTGAAGTAGCTGTAACTACTCTGCCGCCTTCTGTCATAGAGTAGCTGTAAACGCAAACTTAGTTTTTAATCTGCTAGATGAATATCTGACATTTTCCTACTAAAATGACTGATGTGTATAGTTCTGTGTTCAAAAGACTACCCTCCAAGCACTGGAAGAATGTCAGTCACTACCTAGAAATGCTTTGGTTTGCCACCCCCCCCCCCCCCCCTTTTTAATTCTTTTTTTTTTTTTCCTCTAGTGGTGTTAGAGATGCGTGCTCTACTGATGTCTAAAAAGCTGCCCTTCTGGGTGCGGAAGGGGTGTCTGTAGGTGTTAGGGGTCAGGCCAGGTTTCACCACTGGGATTTGTGACTGGCAGGACTCCAGGAGGTACAGGAGGCTCTGCCAAGACTGTAGATGGATGGCGAGGTTTAAGCTGCTTCTTGCAGAAGTCAGTTTTCTGCATGTTCCCTGAGGTAATCAACCTCCTTTGGGATTTGTAAGGAGTTCACTTGCTGCTGGAGGCGGTCTCAGGGTGGGGAGCACAAAGGAGAAACTTCATTTTGCAGTGATTTGGTAGGAAATAAGCAACTTTCCTCCAAAACGAAAATACTTCTGAAATGTCTGATCTGCAGTGTAGATTGTAACTGTATTGCCTGGGACACAAGAGTTTCCTGCTGGATTACAGGTGTGGAGTTAACAACAGTGCCCACGTGAGCTGTGCAGGCTGAGAGACCTGAGCTGCCAGTGTTTGCCAAGAGGGCATTTGGCACTGTTCAGGTGCCAGCCAGCCTGTGGTACAAATGCTTCGGAGTTCCCGTTCACAGTATTGCACTCTGTGCAGGGTCAGTAATGTCCTGAGGCCCCTGAGCTTCGTTTATTAAGGATCAAAATACTAATGGCAGCTCAAACGTACTGCAGAAGTATACTTTTCTGTCTTTAAAGCCTCCTAATTCATCAGCCACTTATGTTCACATTAACTGAGCTAGTGGCTTTAGAAAGCACTTCATCCTTTCCCTTCAGCAACACAGCAGGCACAATATTTGTGTGATCTCCAGCTTAATAGACTGGTTTCAGCAAATGCCTACAGCAACAGTAGGTGAGGATTCTCTGGCCTAACTTATGTAGGAGGTCAGACAAGATTAGCTTAATAGTCCCTTCTGGCCTTTAAAGCTTGTGAATATCTCATTTGTTTTCTCCTGCTCTTTTCTTTCCCAAGATGAGGATCACTTTTCATCTGAAGCCGACGCTGCTGTTAGTGAGATGACCAAAGGCGCAGTCCTAGTGGCACAGGTACACGAGAGCTGCCTGGAAAAGTCTGGTTGCCAATTTGACTGCTGCTGTTGTCCTCTCTGCCCCCTCGCATACCGTGCCTGTTAAAATCGAAAACAAAGCCAGAGCCTGCAAGCCTGGCTGCTGGGCAGGATCCTTGTCGAGAAATCTCGGGCGCTGAAAACTTCTTGTGTGGCATCAGCACCGCTCAGGATTGCCTGGCTGGGAAGGGATGAGTATTCCCTCTTGTTACTGATGCGGGCAGAGAGGAAGGGCACCTGGATGGATTTACAGAGCACAAAGTGGCCTGTTGTCCAGCGGATCAACTATTCACCTGGGTCTGCGCTGCTTTGCCAGTCTCAACTGTCTTTGCAAGACTGACATCCAGGACTTGGCCTCTGGCTGGCTGGAGGGAGAAGTAAGGGCATCCCAAAGGCTTCTGCATGCAGTGCCTGGTCTCAGCGAAGAGGCACTTGCCTCTTCCGACGTGCCTCTGACAGCGGCTGTAGCTATCCACGTAAGGCAGTTGGGACGAGTGGGAAGCCGATAGCGCTTGTGACGCTCAATCTCGTAGCTTCCTTTGGTTTTAGTGCAGTGCTCAAATGCATCACTAATTCTAGCAAGGGCACGGATTTGAGTGACCAGAGCGCACTTGCCAGCAGGGTGTCCCAGCTGCCTGGTGGCAGGAGCTACATTTCCACTAGCCTACGCTGAGTCTGAGGATCTGATATGCAGTGAATGATGCTAGCCTTGCACCCTCCATGGCTCAGACCAGAATTGCTGCACGCTAATGTTCTTCTGTGTTTCCAGGTCACAAATTATGACAGCGCAACAGGTCTGCCACTGATACAGCTGTGGAACTTGACGGGAGATGAGGTGGGTATGTTAACATACCTATTTTTTCAACACTGTTAAGCTATATGATTATGCAGACTTTTTATTGCTGGTTAGGAACTTGCTGATGCTTCTTGCTAGTAGTTTGTTCACCTTTCTACTTTCTTTTTTACCTCCTTTTAGGTGGTGTCAGTAAACAGAAGTCTGGTGGAAAGAGGGTTTGCTCAGTGGCTTGACTACTAGCAATGTCCTAGATGCCTCGACAACACTTTCTACAGAGAAAAACAAAAGAAGAAATCTTGTTTTGCACTGTTACAATTTGGTTTGGCAACCTTTCATAAGACAACCTGTTTACACCTGTGTGTGGATTTTTGTGGTCCATTGAAACTCATTTTGCTCAACTGTTACCATTTCACTAGAAACATGTACCTCATCTTGGTGAAAGCTGGGGTGTTAAAAGCCATAATGACAGATACTGTAGCTTTAAAGCAAAAAATCCTCCCTGGCCTCTACTTAAAAGTTGAATGGAAAAAACCTTCATACCTGGGGGCTTGCTTGAAGCTAGCAAATGCCCCTGAAATGTTAACTGTGGTTGCATTTTTGTTCAAGATGTATAATGCCCCGTGAACTTAGCGTCTGCTTTTCTTAAAAGTTACAACGGTTGTCCTTTTTTAACAGGCTCTGCCTATGAAATTAATGAATGTTATTAAGGAATTTAATGTTTAGTTATGGATTTTTCTGTATTGTGCCACTAACCTGCACAAATAACATTCATCTTGTGTCTTCCTTATGCCAGGAGGTAGATGAATTGCATTCGTTGCACTTACTGTGGCACATGTCTCACTGCAGTCATGGTTTTTAGGCTTGATATGCTTAAGGAAGAAAGCTTTTCTGTGCAGATGCTTGAAGTGCAGGATATGTTACCACTACAATTTTTGCTCTGAAATGTCATGTATTTAAAGAAAAGAACTGATTGCCAAGCCCAATTGTAGTTTATAATTTTCTAGCTGTGCGAGTCTGTAAATATATATAAAAAAACATTGTAATATTTTGTACAAGAAAAACACTGGAAACAAAGGGAACTTTACAGAAACTTTTTCACACCAAAATGTCCTATGTAGGTAGAACTGGCTTGGAGTGCATTAGAGTAGCCAACATACTTGGAGCATCTGAATGTTGGGAGTGTTTCAGCTCTGCTGTATACAGGATTAGTATTCCCTTAGATTGCTGTCTGGTTTGAATTGTGATCACTGCATTCTTTGCTATGTTGCTGTACAGATCTGTTTAAAAAAAAAAGTAACAACTTGGCATTAATATTGCAGTGGTGTTCTCAATTTTTTTTTGTTCCTTTTTAGATTTCTATTACATATTTAAAATTTTGCTCAAGTAATTTAAGCCAACTTAATACTCTTAAACACATGCCCTCTAATGTATATCATTTTAGATATGTATTGAGCTGGGATTTATTGCTGGCAGAGAAGATACTTGCCAGGAAAATGTTGATGTAGTCAGTCCTCAGAAGTTTTTTTCTGGTGGGTTCAGGGATGTCCTTACATCCTATGAGCTAATGTGTCGGTGCATCACATTTGGATAGTTGCCTACAAAAGCATTTGGTCCAATCCCTTCTGATATGGTATGGTTATATCTTTTTTTTTTTTTGAGTTCTCTACTATTCGGTGCTTATGATTTAATGTTCATGTTTGCAATAACATCCAATGAAACCTAAATTTGGTAACTCAGTTAAGTCTATAAAACATATATCCTTTTGGAATGTTTCTTTACATTTCAATTAAAGCTCGGATTTTAAGCCATCTTAATCAAACTGTGATGACTGAGAGCCTTCATTTCCTGACCTCTTGCGATGTAGGGTTGGGAAGGGAGCTCCATGGGCTAAGCAGGTCAGATAAGATCCTGATGGCTTTTCAACAGATGTAGAAAGGTCAAGCTTCAAATCTCCTGGGTTTCCTTTTACTTCCAGCTGAAAACTGGGTTTATTTTTATGATGAATTACTTATTAGAAAGCCTTAGTCTGAGCACCGGTACTCAAGGCTGTTGAAACTGTTATATATTTGTGGAATTCATTTACTCTAGACTCGGGTTGTCCCTTTTGCCACACTTGTGTGTTGAAAAGTGAAACTTGGGAGTCTGTTGTGCGGGCTATAAAATCCCCTCTTTAAAATGTTGACCGGTTTCTTGTTCAAGCCAAGCAGTGCAATTTGGTGTCCTAGTGAACAGTTTGTCCTTACCCTGGTATCGGAGCACCTTGCAGCTGGGAAAGTCTATTCTTGCAGTAGAATGTATTCCACTGTGTGGAAAAGAAGCAAAGGCCTGGGCTGGACCGACTATGCTTGGGCTGCACAGAACAAAGTGTGTTAAACTGAAAAGTACTGCTTTTGTGGTCTGTAGATGTGTACACATGCACACACAGTTGTTCAGAGTTCCAGATACTGGTCTTCCAGATCTCAAGGATTAAAACAAATCCATTGGGTTCACTGCAGAGTGTACATACAACCCATAGATGCTCTGGCTACAACTTGGTGCTGCTTAGGCAAGTGATATGTGAAGAATAAAACATTGGGGGTTTTGGTGGGGGAGTAGTGGATCTGGAAGTTAGCGCAGTTTGAGAACGTCCATCCTTATTGCTTCTCACCCCAGGAAGAAGGTTTCACTTCACAGGGTTTCTCAGTCCTTGCTAGGCTCCAGTATCTGCTGAGGGATGCCTTTCACCCTCAGGCATGATCTCCCAGGTGGAACTTTGGTGGCTGGCTTCTTGCACTGTGGGTGGTTAACGTTACTGATAGCCTGAGCACCTGAGTGGTGTGTGTGGCATGCTGAGCTCTCTGCCACGGCTGCAGGCAGCCTGTCTGGATTTGCTGTTTCAAATTGCCTGCCAGTCATCTTTCCCCGGACAGAGTTTCTGGCCAAGGGGAGGAAAAAGCTGCCATGTATCTGTGAAGGAGGTTGTCTGTCCTTCAGCTCTGTAACTTGGGTTCAGCAGCTCCAACAGTCCCTTACCGAGTACCTTCCCTGCTAGGTGAGGTCTCCCCTAATTAAACCAGTTCTCTTGGGCAGGAGCCAACCTCCTGAGGAGGGTTTGCGTTTCAGCCTTAGGACGGTGTGACCTTGTAGCTCTCTCCTGCCAGTGCCTGGCGTGGTGGGCAGGCTGGAGATGAAAGGTCAAGAGAAAATGAAGAGCCCTGCGCTCTGGTGTCAGTCTGATGCAGGTGCAGTGCCCAGAGGAGTTCGCTTGCATTTCTTCTGAATTTGTCTCCCCAGCTTTTTCTTTACTGAGGGAAGCTTTGTCCCCTGGGGCTAGATTCACGCTGGGCCAGAGAACTACAAACTGTCAGTGGTTGTGTGAGGAGGAGAGAACTGTTGCAGCTTTCTCTAGCTACGACCTGGCCAGAACATGGGAGTATAAAATAATAAAAGCGTGGATGTGGCTGGGCTGGGGCTTCGCTGGGGTGAGCTGCTTCCAGGGAAGGTCCAGCTCCGCATGGGGTGGGTAACGCAGCCCCCTCCCTCCTGGGAAGATGCTGGTCCCTCACGAGCATGGTACTGTGCAGGTACTGTCTTAATCCTTCTCCACCTCACACCAGTGCTCTTCTGACTCATTGTCAACAGACTTTTTTTTTCTCTGAAGCCTTTCCTGATGCTGGAGTCTTGCTGAACAGGGGAAATGGAGCTGTTGTCATCTCGGTGGGACGTAGGAGCAGGGTGGCTGCAGTCCAGGAGGCTTGCTTACTGAATGTCAAAGTAGAAGAGGAAGAACAAAATTCAGAATGACAGTCCTGAGGTGGTAGCACCATCCCAAGGGAATGCAGATGCTGCAGTTTTAGGGTTTGGAAGCAAATGGGTCTCCCTCAGCTGTATTCCCATATCCCAGAGAGCTTTCCAAGATACAGTCCATAGTCATCAGATTCAAACAAATGCATGTTAGTTTGGAACTGGTAGGTTTTTTTTCTCCAGGAGCTTAGAGCAGCCCTGGACTATTTAGTCTGCACCCATGGGGGTGAATGTGTTATTCATATTGTTCATGACAAAGTTTAACTCATCTCGAAGTTGGTGTTTTCCCTCACTTTGAGGGGTGTGTTGAAGTCAGGAATCGGCAGTAACTGCTGGCAGCTGGTGTGGGGAGCGCTCCTGTTGTCTGCTCTGTGTCCCTCGCTTTCCTCTGGCTCTGCAGCATGGAAAAACATCCTGTTCCCTATTTGTGTTGTAAGCTGCCTATTTTTTTTAAGCTGTAGCAAATAGAACATTGTAGGGTAAGATTAACCAAAATAAGGAGGTGTTGGCAAGTAACAAATAGGCAACCCTTCTTTCTTTAAAATCAAAAGTCTCAGCCTGAACTGATGCATTAATAGCTTCAGGTGTGTGTGGGTTTTTTGTTTGGGTTTTGTTTTTTTGTTTTGGGGTTTTGGTTTTGTGGGGTTTTTTTTTCATTATGGACAAGGGTGAATGGCATTGCTGAGGTGGGGGAGTTGGATATGGGCTGCTTGGAAAAGAGCAGGGGGAAAAGCACAGGTCAAAAAAGGAACAGGGGAGGTTGAAACAAGGTAGTTGTATTTGCATCTTCCTTTCTGAGATGCAGTGGCGGTGCTTTGTGCCCCGTCAGACCTCAGGAACGTAGCTGGGGTGGGCTTTGAAGGGGTCACACTGCTTGTAATATCAGCCACGTCCCCAAAGCAGCTCTATAATTCTTGCCCGCAAACCTGAGGTTGAGCATACGTGCATCTGAGCTAAGCCGTCCCATGGGGTTAGTTTGACTGAACCCATTCAAAGGGGTTTTCCCCTTTGAAAAGTGGTAATTTTATTATGGGTAAAATGAATGAGGTCTCTGGAGATGCCTAATTTATAACTTCCGCAGGGAAAGCTTCCCGCCGGCCGCGAGGCACGCTCCGGCATTCCCCTGCCGAGCAGCCCCTGGAAGCCCAGACCTCCCCTCTTCGGGCTCTTTCCAAGGATGAGGGGTGCTTCCTACGAGCCTTCCTCGCTTCCCAGCCTCTGCCCCCTCATCGTCCTGCCCTGGGCAGCCGAGCAGGAGCTTCTCCCCGGGGCAAGCGGCACCTTCCTGGCAGACCCTCTCGAGCAGCGGGGCCAGTCCTTAGGCAAAGCCCGGAGATGATTTTCCTTCGGCACATGGACTCAAAGGCTCCTTAATGAGGGAGGAGGGGAGGAGCGAAGAGAGTGGTTTTGGAGCAGATGGAGAATAATGGTGCCCCTGTCTGATACTGGCACTTGGAGCACCGGCACGAGGAGCGGTTCGGCCCCTTCCCTCTCACGGCCACGTATGCAGCCTGCTCGCCGCGCGGCAGGGAACCTGGCTCTGCAGTTCCGTTGTGGAAACTTCATTGGCAGTGGGTTTTTCCGAAAAAAAACAAACAAAAAAAATCCAATGCAAACTTTATTTTTACTTCCCTTCTACTGTGTGACACAAATCTATCGGGTCCTGTCTCGGTGCTGTCCCTAGGAAGCCTGTGTGTCGGAGGCTGCTGAGCTAGAATTAAAGAACATGTGTCTTGCATTTAGTTTATTGCCTCGGGGCTGTGTTTTGGCTTCAGTCACCTCTGTTTCCTCTCCTCTTCCTTCCCTACCCCCTTCAAAAGAAAAATCAGCAACAATGCAAAGCAAGAGGAAAAAATTCCGGCTGCCCTGGGCAACAGCGGGGATGATGGCAGCCGCAGTGAGTGTCAGGGCTTGGGCTTTTTGCCAGGGGAAATGTGAACAGTTCTTGTAGGACAGACGTGCTGGGTGATGGGGCTCTGGTCATCGCAGTGATCAGACTGGAGGTCTGCCTGGCCCATACCTACTCTGGCAGTCCTGGTAATTCCGGCAAAAGGTACAAAAGAGGGATCTCCTACAGAGCGGTTTTGCCCTGACACGCTCCTGGTTTCCATCTGTGAGCAGTGCAGGGACTTCTGAGCCAAATGCTGCACGCAGTGTTGCACTTAATAGACACATATAAACTACCTCAGGTGAATTTGTGTAATGGTGTTTTGAGTCCATTTGTCCTTCTGACCTTCACGACATCCTGTGGCAATATGTCCCACAACTTAATTACGTGTGGGTGAAAAAAGTGCTTCCTGTTTGCTTTCTAAATTGCCTGAAAGCATCCCTGGCTAATCCATCATCCTGATACCACGGAAAGGTGAGTAATGGCCCTTGCTTTGGCTTGTCTATACTGCCTGCAAGTTTATAGACTTCTCTTCTGTCACCTGTCTCTGTTCCAGGCTGAAGCGTCCGAGGTCTATTTAGCTCCTTACGTGGGAGCTGGTGGGTACCATACATCCTCCCTGACACCCAGGCCTGGACCTTTTCTAGCCCTATAGTGCCTTTTCTGAGCCGAGCGCCTACCAGAAGCTTTCCTCCATTTGCTGAATCAAGAACATAGAAGAGCTGCTGCAGATTCCCAGGTGTGCGTTTTGGTGTCTCAAAACGGGGTTGGATGTTTATGACGGTATTCTCCATCCTCGTGGGAGGAGATGATGGGAGTTGTGCTGTAGTCGTGACTGCGCCGAGGTTTCAGCCTTCCCCTGGGAGAGGGGAGATGGGATCAAAGGGACTCACTGGTTTGTGCAGTTCGTGCCCCAGCTTCAAAACTCCGTGCGTTGTGTGTGATGTTCTTTTTTTTGAACCTGAACTCCACAGCTGGGATTCAAGAACGCTGATGAGACGTTTCACACTGTTTCAAGTGAGGTGCCCTCATTTCTGGAAAACAGCACTTTCAAAGTAATATGTGGATCTGGGTTTCTCTCCTGTGTGTTGTCTGGGTCTCAAGTGCCTGTGTGTCTCTCCGAGTGCACATAAACCACTTTT